AATAATTTTGCTCTTTTCATTGTTTGGTTATTTGGGCTTTATTTAAATTTTCAAATTTTTCTTGTTGTTGGATTCAATTCTTTCAGAGTAAATTATTAACAATTTTTCTTTTTCTTTGTATTTACCACGTAAAAACTTATAAAAAAACACTTTTTATTGAAATGAACGAATAATTTTGACAGTAACTGCGAATTAGTTTACAATATTTACTGTGATAAGATTATTGACGTAACGGTTATTGGCGCGAAAAAGGGTATTCTTCTTTACGTGCTCTGCTCTTTCAGGATGTAGGCAATCATAGCTCTCCACAACTTCCTGTCCCACGTAGCACTTAATAAATGTTGTCTTTCTGTTATTTTTTCTAAACCCTGTTCCACTATGAGTATCAGATTTCCCAAGCCCTCTTTCCTCATTATGTACCCTAGAAACTTCATCTGTCTTCCTGATGCATCATTTTTGTTTCTATTTTTTTGTAAAACTTCGCCATTCCTCAAATGTTCTGTCTATGGTATACTAAGATACTCAAGGTAGAGGGTTACTATGGTATTGTATGAGCATAAGAAAGGGCTGACAGTGAGGTTCATGAGGTTATGCAGGCAAAAATATTGGTTAACCCTAAACATGAAGAGACCAAGATTATAGTGAATCTGTTTCATAAAGCAAGAGTTCTTCGGAAGAAGCTGTTCCAATGGAAATTCCTCCTTACTAATGGAATACGAAGGGATGGGGATGATTCATTCTTGTGTGCGTAGTATGGTGTTTCACAGTTAAAAAGTTCAGAAAGTGTTAGAAAAATTATATTCATATTGTCTTTTTACAGATATGACATTTTTGCATCCCCCTGTACATTTTTATTGTAATAAGATTATTGACGTAACGGTTATTGGCACAGAAAAGGGTATTCTTCTTTATGTGCTCTGCTCTTACAGGATATAGGCGATCGTAGCTCTCCACAACTTCCTGCCCCTTGTAACACTTAATAAACATTGTCTTTCTGTTATTTTTCCTAAACTCTGTTCTGCTATGAGTATCAGATTTTCCAAGCCCTCTTTCCTCATTATGTATCCTAGAAACTTCCTCTTCCTGATACGTCCTTTTTGTTTTCCGTTTTTTGTAAAACTTCGCCATTCCTCAAATGTTCTGTCTATGGTATTCTTAGCATCTTTGTGCAGAACCACATTTTTGTTATTTCAAGTCTCTTCATCTTTGAGGAGATTGTTCAGCTTTCACTGTCATACACAAGGGCTGATATTACGTAACAGTTTAGTACTCCTTTCTTTGTTTCTGTTGAAGTTTCTCTATTTCTTAGTACTATGTTTAGCTTTTAGAATGCCTAATTGGCAATCTCAATATGCCTTCGGGTTTCAGTACCAAATATTCCGTTCTCAAAACACTTCTCAGATAATTAAATTCCAGCACTTTGGTGTCTTCGATTTGCAATTCGTATTTTGAGTTCATCCTTTTGCTAACAACCATGCGTTCTGTCTTGCAGTTGATTTTTAATATCTCTCTGCGTATTAGTAGTCGTAGTACAGTTCTGCGTGTTCTGAATGGCAAACGAGTTTGCTAGGTATAGCCACCCCATTTTCGCTAGTTTTTTTCTATTTATACTTGTCTGTCTAATTTGCATACGATACTACACTTTCTTTGTCTGCTTTCATCACTGTGTCATATGCATACTTCATGTTGTTAGGATTGTGGCCGCCAATAATGAATCCTGCTAGGAATTCTAGTTCTTTCAGAATCGTCTCGATGTAATGGTTGAATAAGTCCAGTGCATATCCTTGTCTTACGCCCCTTTCTATTTTTGTATATCCACTGAACTCATTTTCTATCCGCATGAAAGTGTTTTGGTGTTAGTAAAGGTTCTGGATTATTCTAATATCCTTCCCAAATATATCAATGTTGCTTAGCAGTTACAGCAGATCTTCACCAAACGACTTTGCGTAATCTATAAAGTACAGATCATCGTCCTTCTCCATTTGTATTGCTCTTTAGCGACCCGAGTTCAATTTCTGATCCAATCTGTTATGATCACTTTCGAACTAATGTCCTTGGGAAAGGAAGGAATTCATTACTTATTTTCTAGCTATGGTTTAAAACAGCAAAGGAGATCAGGCTTTTTAGCTTTGGCTGGCATTCAATCATGGAGGAGAAATTTTAATTTACAGCCGTAGAGAAGTCAATGGGAAATGCTTGCAATACCTTTCCCAATGCATTTAGTCCACAGATAATAAAGAAAATATATATTTGTGGTGCGTCATGGTCACTTACACGCTGAAAGGACATGACGTTAAGAAAAGTTTAGTTTTTCCTGAATATATTTGACTCATCACTTCAAAAACATCTTGTTTTTCCTATAAATCCAATTCATATTATACGCAATACGTAATTATCGCGAATTATACCAGACCAGGTTGGTCGAAAGAGAAAAGAAAGAAAAGTTCTTTCTTCTTATTTGGTCACCAGTTTCTACTTTTTTTTTAAAGGTATGTCTGTTCCTCTGTATGAATAACAGTATATTGACATTGCTGCAAGCATGTTTGTACACGCGTATGCACGCAGATGTATGTTTGTCTATATACGTATATGTTTATACGTATTTATTTGTGCTGGTATATGTGACAAACTCGTGAAGGGTCATTGAAAAGAATGAAGAGGGTAGGGCAACATAACACTGAAGTGCCCATACCAAATAAATGACTTTGTCTATTTTGAAACGTGGCTTTTGTCTGTCTTCGCACACTTCTCTAATTCCAGTGAGGTTATCACAAAAAAATGGTTAGATGGATTATAATTTTAAAATTCTTTGTTTGAACGATTAGAAATATTGAAAAGAAATGTAAAATAACCCCTTTTTATACTAATATCCACTCAATAAAAGACCCAAAAGCTACTCAAGGCAGAGGCTTACCCTTGTATTATATGAGCGTAAGAAAGGGTTGGAAGTGAAGTTCATGAGGGTATGCAGGCAAAAATATTGGTCAACTCTATACATGAAGAGGTCAAGATCATGTTGGGAGTCTGTTTCATAAATCAACAGTTTTTGGGAAGAAGCTGTTCGAATGGAACTTCCTCCTTGCTAATGGAATATGAACGGAATGAGTGGCATGGCAGTTCCTATTTGTTCTGAATGGACAGACTGCCAGTTAAGTCTAAAGAAACTTTAGAGATGTTATCTTGATAAAAACAAAAACAAAAAAATGTCCCTCAGCAGTGTAGTTCTTTTGTATACTAAAAATACTTTTGTATACTGATACAAAGAGCCACTCAAGGTAGAGGGTTACTTTGTGATGTAATATTAGCATAAGAAAAAGCAAGAAGTGAAGTTCACGAAGTTGTGCGGGAAAGATAATGGTTAGACTTGAAGATAACAAGATTGCAGCGATTGGGGATACGTCATGTTGGGAGTCTGTCCAATAAAGCAGTAATTCTTTGGAAGGAGCTGTTCGAATGGAACTTTCTCCTTACTAATAGAATACGAATTCTTGTGTACGTGGCATGATGGGTGTCAGTTAAAAAGTTCAGAAAGTGTTAGAAAAATTATATTCACATTGTCTTTTTTACAGATATACTCTATGGCACATTGTTGACGCATATTCATTTTGTTCTGATTACTTTCGACACTAGCACAATGTCGTCATTAAGGTCTTGTTTTTTAAATTGCAAAAAATATCCTCATTTTTCTAAGACAAAATTGTTGTGTTCATCTGAAAATTAAATTTTTTAGTGTGATGGGAAAAACTCTAAGGTTATGTATGTACTGTACAATTTTAAAATTTTATCATTTAGGCACACGTACAAACATAAGGGAGGTAACTAAGTTATTGTACACTGATGAAAGAATGTATAATTGTAATGAATACGCATCAACATGATAATTTTCCTTCTTCCTTTAATAAGGATACTAAGAAACTTGTCCGTAATTACGAGAGGATCCTAATAAAAATAAGTAGACAAAACTTGTTTAAATTACTTAATGAGACATATAATGAAAATATATGTTATATATATATATATATATATATATATATATATATATATATATATATATATATATATATATATATATATATATATATATATATATATATATATATATGTATGTATATATATATTTGTATGTATTTTTTTTTTTTTTGACATATAATGAAAAAACATGTTAGTAATTACATAATAATATATATATATATATATATATATATATATATATATATATGGAGGATTTTTCTTTTTTTTTTGTTTTTGACATATGAGCGTCCAACAATTCGTCTTAAAATCGATATATAATATATATATATATATATATATATATAACTTTTATATATATATATATATATATATATATATATATATATATATATATATATAACTTTTACAAACTTTTCAGGCGGGTTTCTCATACCAAAACATCGACAAAATTCCATATATTCGCAAATGCTTCGTTTTTTAGTTAAGTTTAAAGAACGTTTACAGTAGATGGCGTAGTGTTGCCATGTAGACTAGGTTACAATTGACATTCGTGTATATTGTAGCTAGTTCGTCTGCAATGCTTAACGTGTGTAGTAGTGAGTGAGTTAATTCTTACGACCATATAACAACCATAAAACAACCATATAACTTAACAACCATATAAAAACCATATAACAACCATATTAAAAACATAGAACAACCATATAACATAACAACCACATAATATAACAACCATATAACGACCATATAAAATAAGAACCATATTACGACCATATAACAACCAAATATCATAACAACCATATAACAACCATATAACATAACAACCATATTACGACCCCATATCAACTCTATAACATAACAACCATATAACAACAATATTACGACTATATAACAACACCATTCAGTAATCTTGAGCCTTGTATTGGGCGAACATTTAGTAAATAATTCCAATTTATTGAAAAAAAGTTTGAACACAGTAACTATAAACAAAATGTTTTCTAAAAATATGGAACACTTCACGAATTTGCATGTCATCCTTACGCAGGGGCCATGCTAACCTTCTCTGTATCATTCCAAGTTTAGTATATGTACTGCCGAATTCCAATTATTTAATAAAGAATAAAACTAAACCTGAAAGATTATATAGTCGTGTATTTTCTTTCAGAATATTTTTTCAAAAGTGAATCATCACGTCGATTTCTCACTCGGAAACATTAATTGATACATCACCTGTACATATAGAATTAATTTGTTATTTTTACAATGATTCTGTACAAAGTCTAAGGGCCACTTGAGGTAGAGGGTTACAGAGTAATAGGCACAGATTATGCAGCTACACGAAGAAGATAATAGTTAACCCTAGACTTGAATAGGTTAAGATTGTAGCGATCGGGGTAACATCCTCTTGGGAGTCTGTTCCCCAGAGCAGTGCATTGTGGGAAGCAGCTGGTCTTCTGGAACTTACATGTCACCAATTAAATACGAAAAGAAAGATGGTGGTCCTTTATAACGTATGGTGGGTCTTATTCGTGAAGATAAAAACAAGTTTGGACACTTTCCTTGGAGATAGCGATATAAGATTACGAAAGGGGTTGTAGTCCGGAAAATAATTTGTTACTCACAAGGACGAAGAGGCGTTTTTGGACTCTATCGAGACCGGAATGTGATGCTAGGGCATATATTGCCCACGTATCGCATCAGTAATCTAATTTCGGTTTGATCTGGATTTTGAAAAAGTAGAGAACCGCCATTTTGTTCATTTTCTCACTATTTTAGTAAGGAAAGTTAACTCGTGTTAGTTAATTTTTAATTCGATCTTATGATGTCAATTCTGCTTATTCTATATAAACAAACACTCACACAGAAGACCCGTAAATACCCTGAGGTGTATGGGGCAACACGCTAGGAATTGGTGCCTAGTTGTTTTCTCCTAGACTGGTTGCCAACAATGGCTAAAGAACCCAGTCCATCCTATTATTTAACCGATAGCTGACAGAGCGATTAATATTATTTCCAAGGGTATTTGCGCGTAATTGAACGCAATAAACTTGACTGGAATTCAAGCTCGGCTCCCCGAGCAGCTATCCACTACACCACATCATCAAATACATTTCTATATAAACAGACGATATAAATTTCACCACCCATAAATTGAACTCATGATTACGCTATTATCGCATGCAATTAAGCAACGTTTATATCCACCGATCCATTGTTCCGTAAAGCAATTAGGTAGTGAATAGCTGATTGAGAACAATCTATCCCTGTGGATTGAATAAAGTGTTCAATTTTATAGAGCTCTATATCTGAGAGACAATGAAGACTATGTGAAGAGGAAAGTAGAAAAAAGTCAGAAGCACTGGAGGTTGTATTGATTTGATAATGAAAGAATTAACAGGCGACACACAGCATAGTAATAGGAGGATTATCAGAACAGACAGAAATTGTATGAAAAGTGACACTTCTCTCGGCAAACAAAAAGAAAAATTCGGGATAATTTGGGAAGAAAAAAAACAGCTTCTTCAAGAATTTAAAACGCACTAAAAAGAAATAACAAACAATATTATCAAACACATTTGCACAGAGAACACTTGAAAATGAAACCAAATCATTAATACAAGCGGCACAAAACAAATTTATTAGAACAAATTTCAGTATTTTATGGCATATAAAACACACCGGTGTATATAATGCACTATAAACGCTCAAGTTCAATCTTAAGGTTGATTTCTTTCTGTACATAACAGTGTGATTCTGTGGTTCAATTGTTGTTAAATAATAATATATATTATATATATATATATATATATATATATATATATATATATATATATATATATATATAAGACAATAGGAATACTGTATTCTTAGACGACGCATTTCGTCCAATGAGGACCTTTTATGGCAAAAACGAAATGAAAATTTTCATTTCGTTTTTGCTTTTGAAAAATATTGTGTTTTACCTGAAACACTAATATTCCATGAGCTCTACTTGATTTTATACTTTTGGAAATATATATATATATATATATATATATATATATATATATATATATATATATATATATTGACTACTAATATATCTATCTATCTATCTATCTATCTATCTATCTATATATATATATATATATTTATATATATAAGTGAATGAAGTCAACACTTAGGGGCGACAGTCAGTTTCATGTCGCCTCTAAGTGTTGACTTTTATGTTCACTTTTATATTTACACACGCTCTATCTCTGATATTTAGCACTTTATCCTATAAATATACCACATCTTGACAAATATCAAGTCTGATTTGTGCTACCTTCATCATCCCGACTACAGAGTTTTGTAGACGGACCATCAAGCAATCACTCCATCCACACCTCAATAGTTATCCTCAATATTTCTATTCATATTTCATTTTATATATATATATTTCTATTTTATATTTCATATTTCTATTTTTATATATATATATATATATATATATATATATATATATGCACTTTCCATTGGTGCAAAGTTGATTTTTTTCCTTTCATATTGTATGTGTGTGTGCACGCGCTCACATACACATACACACATTTATATACACATAAATAAAGAACGCAGATCAGAACAAGAAAAGACCGTTGTGTGGGATCAGCGATGAAACAGACTGTTATATACGAAGTAAAAAAAAAAAAACAACAAAAAGTAGCAAAATGGATTATAAACGTAGATATGTCAGGGTAGGAACGGTAAATGAATGGTATAACGCATTAATGAAGCTGTGTGAATCAGAATAAAATTTAGGCGAATACTACGTCTCAGGGTATGGATTTACTGACAGGCACTCGTATATGAAATCTTATTTCATCTATTATTCTATCTATCTATAGGATTTTTTTTATAAGTAACTCGTTTATAGCAACTGTACTCTGACTAAATTTTAAGTGACTCTACTACTGACATCATTACGGTTTAAGCAAAAAAAAATAAAGAAAAAAGAAAGTGGATTTTCCATATGTGTTTCTTTATACTGAACATAAGAATTATGTCAATTCTACTATTTTAGATATATAGGAATTACTTTCACTTTTATTTTACTTATACATAAAAAAATTAAGATTAATTCTCGTGATAATATTACGCAATTTGGAGTACGGGTTTAGATCGTAACCTAAAATCTCTCTCTCTCTCTCTCTCTATCTATCTATCTATCTATCTATCTATCTATCTATCATTCATCATCTATTCCAGTCTGTTCGCATCTAAGTCTGCTCATATCTATCTATCTATCTATCTTAGTCTCTTCGCATCTAATTCTGCTCATATCTATCTATCTATCTATCTATCTATCTATCTATCTATCTATCTATCCTTTATCAAGAGATTATGTGTTTCTGTGTGTGAGAGAGTGAGAGAGAGAGAGAGAGAGAGAGAGAGAGAGAGAGGGGATAGAAGGAAACAAGAGGGAGGTAAAGGCCTGGTAAAAGAGAAAATTCGATTGACTCCTATTCCTTGTAAAGCTGGCAACTGCTGGATCAAGATGATTGTAGACAAACTGTTTCGGTTCTGTGGAGGTGGGGCGATGAGTAGCGTGGACCGATCCTAATACGGATGAGGCATGGGTGGTCGTTGAGAGCAGAAACTCAATTCTTTAACCCTCGTTACGGTCTTAGTGCGTGTCGGAGCATAATAAAGATTGTAAACCCTCACTTCTTTGCATTATGAATATTGATATGATGCGCATTGCCATTTGAACAAGAGTAAAGTTTTTTTTTGTTATCTTTGTTTTTATTCCGTTTTCTCCTTGTTCAAAAATCTAAACTGTTCCTCTTTGTCGTTGAGCCCTCTGATCGGATATGACGCTAATAATTGATTGCATTATGAACCGTATTGATGAAATCGACTGAATGGTTGAGGGAGTTGATAAAGTTAAGGATGGGATTAGAGATAAAGGGGTCATCAAGGGTTGGAAAGGGGAAAAGAAGGACGAAATTAGGCTATAATGTTTGGAGCAAACTAAAAACAAAAAACAGAAAAGAAAAATGCTAAGCTTAATCAGAAGCCTTAAATTTCTTTCTTTTAATCTTTAGGGTTATTTTCTCTTTTTTCATCTCGTTATTGAAAATTTGGGTTTATTTTAACACTGCAAATTGCTGACTCCCTCCGATCTGCCTCTTCTAAACGAATCATCTGTTCTCATAAAGAGTAAAATACAAATATTTACCTAGAGACTACCGAAATGTGAAACGAAGGATTTGCTAAATGTGAAGCATATTTTCAAAAGAGGTCAGTTGAGAAGAGATAAAGGAAGAACTGAAGACTTGAAGAACTGAAGACTTGAAGAACTGAAGACTTGAAGACTTCTTTATGTTAAGGTTTGACCATAAAGGCTTAAAATCTCTTATTGGATAGTCGGTAGAATTCAACTTTTACAAATGAGGAACTAGCATAAGTTGATATTCCAAGTCAAACAATTTATATATTTCTAACTTGTAATCATTATTTTTGTTTTTCTACAAAGATAGCTTTCAAAGCAATGGACATCTAAAGTAGTTCAAGAAAATGACTACAGCTTATGTAAATATTCTTTTTTTTAAATTTATTATCTTATTAAGAAAAAAAGAAGCTTTTTAAATGTTAAGTTAAAGTCTAAAGCGTAGAAAAAGGGGAAGATTCAGAAAAGATTCTAAGATACGATATATTACGAAAATGGAGAAAAAGGGTGGTTTTTCATTATATAGTAAAAACAAAACAATAGCGAAAAACAAACAGATTTTATATTAAAACATGGCAAAGGATATTAAAGTCACGGTAGTTATGGAAAGAATCAGGAAAATAAACTTGCAAAGGCACAAAAAGCACACACATGTATGTTAAGGTGATAATTCATGATTGTTTTATATATATATATATATATATATATATATATATATATATATATATATATATATATATATATATATATATATATATATATATATATTTACACACACACAAACACACACACATACACGCGCATATATATATATATGTGTGTGTGTTTGAATAAATATGTGCTGCTTAAATATACACATACGTATACACACAAACACACACATATATATTTAATTTATTTGTTTTAAAGCTATTTTCAATGAAAATTAATATTTGAGTAGATGAATATCCATTCAAAATAACGTTTTATCAAAGAAGTTAAAAATATGTTGGCTTGGTTTGTCAAAAATCTGCGTCAGGTAATATTTTTCCTTCAAAATTGTATTTTTCAGTTCTTTATATATACGGCTTTGTGGTGCATTGTGAGTAATCTATTTTGGCGTTTATTTTGCCGGAAGTCGTCAATGTCTGATCCTTACCCACTCACTATTAATTATTGTAATAAAAATAAATTTAAAAGCATTCCTATCTCTCCCTTCCCTCTCTAATTTCGACCACATCTGCCCCCCCCATCTCTCACCACACTCTATATCACCTTACATAAGCTTAATACTGCCCTTCAAAAGTGTAAGTTTAAATTCATTTTTTCATCCTTGGACATGAGGTCAGATGATCCAGGGAAAAAGAAACTCTCTCGTGAAATAAATTATAACAATAGAACCTTAAAGTGGTATGTTTTTCTTTAAATTAAATTATTCGCTCTGATTTAACATTGAGCTCTCTAGATTTCATCTTCCTTGGGATTATTTATATGGATTACCAAGATTTTCATTTCTTAAATACATACATACATACATACATACATACATATATATATATATATATATATATATATATATATATATATATATATATATATATATATATTGATTTAATAAATCCGACAGATTTTTATTACTTCAACCTTATTTTTAGTGGATACACGTACTTGAATAGACGCTCTGTTGATTTATTAAACAGTATATTTATTTATTTATTTTCATCTATTGGCCGAAACATTCGAGAAATATTAATAGAAAAAGAAATCAGTAGTCTCGGTAGGAATATGTTCACACTGGCAGCGAAAATCGTCATTAGATCTGACATGCTTTGACTTTTAGGTTACAATAATGTGTCGATGACCAAGGAAAGTTGAAAAGGGACATATCTGCTCAGTTTCGTATCCTAACGTAAACAAAGCAATTTGTAAAGAAGGGGATGGATTTTTTTAATTTATTTATCCGACAGATTTTTAGCATTTTTTTGTAGATTATTATATTTGGAGTAGAAGCCTCGTTTATTTATTAAACAGTATCTATCTATCTATCTATCTATCTATCTATCTATCTATCTATCTATCTATCTATCTATGTGTGCGCGCATGGGTGTGTATTTAGCCAGCTATTTTAATTTGAGCATTTTTAGTTAAATAATTTAGTTGATGCTCATGTTGATTTTACAACAGCGACGCAGACGAAAATGCTTGTTTTATTTGAACGCTCAATGTCAGAACGCTCATGTACACATTTACAGTTTAGACAGATATGATTCGAAAATACATCATCAATAAAATAATGAGCAAAAACTTTCAATTCTGGAAGCCCTTTATGTAAAAGAATTGCAGCCAAAATAAATAAACTATGATTATAGCAACAAAGTTCTTAAATGTTTGTAGCAGTAAAGTGTTATATATTAAATTAAAATATTAGAATAAAAAAAAAACAGTTTTTTAAAAAAATTACATGTTACCTCCATTGCGTAGCGTTGAAAAATATTTTTAATTTAAGGTATTAATGCATAACATATCCATAGATATGCAACGTCTGATGAGATTGAAAATACTTGGAACATTAAAAATTATTTGAAAGAAAATTTTGTAATTTTTCTTGATCAATTTTCTAAAGCCATCAAAAAATTAATTTGGATTATTTATCTAACGAGTTCTTTTCCTATTTTCTATATATTTTATCACACACACACACACACATATACATACATACATACATATATATATATATATATATATATATATATATATATATATATATATATATATATACACACACTGAGTGTAACTGCAAAATTGTCCAAATCGTGGAACAGCATAATTATCAATTCCCACAAAATGTTTAATATCTAAAAAAAACACTGAACTTATTGATATTTTCCAGGTTTTCAGATAAAAAGTTTAGACATCTTGATATCATTTGTCATAAGAATCACTGGAAACGCTTTGCGTTATTCAAGATTGAAAAAGAAAGGAACAGTAGAGAGAAAAAAACTGGATGAGGTTGGTTAAAACAGGAAGAGGGATAGATCATCAACTTAGAGCTAAAGAGAACTATTAGAAAAGATCCCGCTTAATTCATAAGACTTTTGGCACGTGAGAGAGGAGCTATGACAGACCAAAGAGCAGCAGTGAAAAAAACTTGAAAATTAAATCGTACGTGAAACTTGTGAGGCACCTTGTAATTCTAGGTTGGAAAGTTACAAGGTTAGAGAGGACGAAGAATAAATTGTATAAGTTGTAAAATGATCCGTGAATAATCTCTCCCTCTCTCTCTCTCTCTCTCTCTCTCTCTCTCTCTCTCTCTATATATATATATATATATATATATATATATATATATATACACACATTTCAATACTACATGCACTTCCGATCCTTAGCTATGATTAATGCATGATGAACATGCCATTTTCGTTCATGATCGAATAATCTTTTGTGAAGCTTAGTGAGTAATTATACATTCCTGTTGTTTGAAGTAGAATCCAGTAGTGGTATAAAACCATTGGAGAAATCCAGTAATATAACTTTAATCATTTCTATGATAGAACGGTTCAAAGCTTAATCTAACAATTGTGTAATTTTATTGTTACACGATTTGGCTAATTTTGCTGTTACACTCAGCATATATACTGAAAGCAACGTCAATCATCTAAGTGATAAAATTTTACTTATATTAATTCTCTCTCCCTCTCTCTCTTTCTCTCTCTCCATATATATATATATATATATATATATGAAACATGAGAACTCTTATGTAGTGAAGGAATCATATTTATTAAAAATAATTATAATATATATATATATATATATATATATATATATATATATATATATATATATATATATATATCATTGTCTCCTGCATTTCGTCTGACTGAAATATTGAAATCGCTAGATTCTGTATCTTTTTTCGAATACTGTCACAGTTAAATTTCTAATTGTGACATGAACTCAGTCTTTACACCACGGTTGAATAAGACTGACGTAGTTTTAGGTAGGTTGAAATAGATCTATCCCCCTATATGAGGTAATTTTAGATTTATTTTTGTGCACTATTATTTATTGGCTCTTTTATAATGAATATATTCAGCTCTTTTTGTGGATCAGTTTTAATAATTTATCTTACAAGGATCCACTTTGATCATATACTAACAAATTTTTACCTTTATATATATATATATATATATATATATATATATATATATATATATTTGGATGAATACTTACTAAAAGAATGCAGAAAACACTGGACAGCCGTTTCGTTCTCTATTTGCGACTCATCAGGAGTGCGCATCCACTACCGAGAATTGAATAAGGCAAACGTCATACCAACTGTACCAACGGGCCTCGGTGACGAAGAGGTAGGGAATTAGACTCGATATACCGCCGCTCGATCACATATTCCGTGGTGGAACTCATTCGAAATTCTCCTTCCCATAGGACTGTGCCGCCACGAGTCACGACTAATATAACCAAGCCGCTCCATCCAGCCGGTTCAAGCAACGATATACAAGTAATAGAAATTATTAGGAGGATTTAAGATAATTATAATTAAATAATTCATCGAGCCTAGAAAAAAGCTAGAAGAATAAGAGAATTCAGAAAACACTGGACGGCCGTTTCGTCCTATATTTGGGACTGACCAGCAGTGCGAATCCACTACCGAGAATTGAAACCCTGACAGTTACATTATCATACTAACGTCATACCAACTGTTCGAGACTCGATGAATTACTTAATTATAATTATCAAATCCTCCTAATAATTTCTTTCTTTCTTTCTTTCTTTCTATCTATCTATCTATCTATCTATCTATCTCATTCTGTTCATATCTGCCTGTTCATATATTATCTATCCCATTCTGTTCCTATCTATCTATCTATCTATCTATCTATCTATCTATCTATCTATCTATCTATCTATCTCATTCTGTTCCCATCTCTGTTCATTCATATCTATCCCATTCTGTTCCTATCTATCTATCTATCTATCTATCTATCTATCTATCTATCTATCTATCTATCTATCTATCTCAGTCTGTACGCGTCTATCTGTCCATCTATCCATTTGTTTCCTTCATATTGATATATACATTTTATTTCTTGCCTTCAAATATATATATATATATATATATATATATATATATATAAAGTGAACATAGAAGTCAACACCCAGAGGCCTCTAAGTGTTGACTTCTATGTTGATTTTTTATATTTACACACGCTCTATCTCTGATATTGAGCACTTTATCCCATAAATATAGCACACCTTAAGACTATATATATATATATATATATATATATATATATATATATATATATATTATATATATATTCCTTTTATCTGTATCCTATTTATCCTCAACATTTTATGCAAAAGTTATAAAAATTATAATAAAATATTCATACCTTTATAATCAAAATTGTTTGGATGAATATTTACTACCAATATCTATCTATCTATCTATCTATCTATCTATCTATCTCTCTCTCTCTCTCTCTATATATATATATATATATATATATATATATATATATATATATATATATATATTGAGAGAGCTCTACTCTTTATCCGGTGCTAAATATAATAAAAAAAATAGATTTAAAGAATGCTATACAATTGCATTAATGTGCTCATTATCCGGTGTAGAACGTGTATAAATATAAAAGTGGACATTGTTGTCAACACCCAGAGGCGACCGACCATGAAAAAGTTCGTCGTATTTGAGTGTTGACTAACAATGTCCACTGTTGTATTTACATACACCATATCCCTGATATTGAACACTTTAAACCATAAATATACCATACCTTAGAACTATAATTATTATATATATATATATATATATATATATATATATATATATATATATATATATAAAAGTGAACATAGAAGTCAACACTTAGAGGCGGCAGTCTGTTTCATGATATATGCAATCATCAGGCCACACACGCTCTATCTCTGATATATATATATATATATATATATATATATATATATATATATATATATATATATATATATATATATATATATATATGTATATATATATATATGTATGTATGTTAGCAAATATAAATGGATATAAATCCGACAGAATGAAGAAAATATCTGGAAAAACAAACAAAAATCCTTAGAATATTGATTATATTTGTTTTAATTATGAATGAAATGTCGACGTCTGACGTTTCAGTTTAAAAACCTTCTTTTATAATATTGTTTAAAATAAATACAATTTTTATGTCCATCGTTTTAATCAATTTACTGATTATGTAAAATTGTATTGTATTTTAATGAATATTGTCTTGAAGAAGGTTTTTAAACTGAAACGTCAGACTGTTATTTCATTCATAATAAAAAACAAATATAATCACATTCTAAGGATTTTTGTTTGTTTTTCCAGATATTTTCATATATGTATATAATATAAATATATATAAATTAGAATACATATATATATATATATATATATATATATATATATATATATATATATATATATATATATATATATTTTTAATATATATATTTTATATATATATATATATATATATATATATATATATATATATATATATATATATATATATATGTGTGTGTGTGTATTTAAGTAAAAAAGAAAGAACAGTAAGATATATAATCCGGTGTTCTTATAGATATTTTTATTTTTACAAAATAGTGCTCAATGTAAATTTACATTAATTGATTTAAAATATGGTGTTTTTCCGCTACTCAGTTCTAACCATGTTTCATATATAGTTTATGCAAAAGTAGGTAATCCGTATGGGTAGACCCAAGGAGGAGGATTTTTCATTTCAACACTTTTGGAAGTAAAGTCTGATGATCCAGAGCCCATTAAAAGGTTTGTGGTGAAATAACTTATTATATGGAACCTTAAAATGGTCTGTTTTTATCCATATATATATATATATATATATATATATATATATATATATATATATATATATGAACAGAGAAATGCGAGTGTAAATAGAAAGAGGGAAGAGTTATATCAGACAAAGTATATAAACTTCACAAGACATTGGTAATCGACTAAAGGCAAAAACAAATGTATGGAAGTAATACCAGCCATAAAAGCCGTAATACCAATTCTCTTTTCTTTTATTCATACGTCTATTGCTGCATCTCCTCCTCTTTAGCAGCGAAAGCAGAAGCGTGCGGTAGCTTTGCTATTTCAACTGTTGAGCGGCAATTCTAAGCCTCTTTGGACTTTGCATTTCATTCCTGCCAAACAATGTTCACTGAACCGGCAAAATTCTCAAATAACCGTGCTGACGGGATTTGTCTTGAAGAGAACGCCGAAATGATTATCTTTGTTCGTCACGCATTGGAATAAGAGGTGCAGATAAAAATGGGGGCATTGCTAATCCGATCTCATTTCGGTTAATCTTTAGTTTCCGATAATCCTAATAAACAGAGTGAATAGTTTTTCACGCTCTTGACCCGGTGAGGGCAAAAGTCAAAACTTGTGAAGACAGGAAGAATAATCCGTTATTAGTCGGAGAAAGAATAGCAGATAGACAGACAAAACAGAAAGGTTAAATAGTCAAGCTCCAAGTTGTAGAGCAGATTCAGACTCCACGATACAATAAAGTAATTGTCGCTTCATAAACTAGAGAAAATATTTTAACCAGACGTTAAAGCATTTTCGTGGAAATTTTAAATATTTAATGTTATGGCGATATAAATAAAATAAATCATCGTCAACCGTGTTTAAAAGGGAATATTTATAGCAAAATTTCAATAGAACTGTTTTTTTTCTTTTTTACCTATAAAATATAACTTATCAAAATAGATAATATCTACTTAAATTAGTGAAGAAATGGTCTTCAAAGAAAGCTATCATTGTGAATCAGTTAATGTTAATAAAACCACTTTTATTTATATGATTAATGAGATATCACTGTGTTGTGTGATATTAAAATCACAACTATAACAATCTTTTAAATAATTAGGTTGACTCATAAATAATTTCCGTTTTTGTTTATCAACTTTTTTCTTCAATAATAAAGTACAATTACATTTTATTCAGCTATATATTCACCGTTATTTGCCATGATTTCTTGACACTTATCAGTATGCTCTTATCTATCTTTCGAGTAAAATTTCGCATGTTTTGATGACAAATATTGTCGAAATCTTGAAACTTATTTGCACTGGAGAAGGTTTTCCGTATCAAAGCTTTTTTTTGCAGCAGTCGAAAAAGGTAATAATCGGCCGGTTCAGGATTATGTACAAAAAACCAACTGAGTTCCATTTTTTTAGCTTTGTTTTTCTTGTTGTATGCGATCTTGCGTTAACAGGGTGGAGAACAGTTTTTTTTCCTTTCATCCACTGTGTATGACAGAAATTGTGAAACTTTGTCGGGTCATTTTTTGGTACTATTAAATTTACATAAACATTAATGGATCACTTATATACTTACTGATATTTTTTTAATAAGAAACTTGTTGCTGCATTTTAGTTGTTAATGTTTTAATTCCAGGTTCATATTTTGTTGTCTTTAGTTTAATACATGCGGCACTCATATCCACACCAAGATGAGTCCTGGTGGTTGATTCTCTATAGTTCATGACGAGCGAGATCTCATGAGTTAATTTCACTGTTGATGTTGGGTCAGTTCATAATCCGCGGCTCAGTGGTTCGCTATCTCTGGTGTATTCTCTCAATGCCTGGCAAAATTAAGGTATATTAGTGCATTTCAAATTTATTCTTAATTTCTATTCAATTATATATTCATTATTATTTGTAATGAATTATTGCCACTTATCAACATATTTTTGATACCTTTTTAGTAAAATTTCTCAGCGTTTGATGTAGAAAAGTTTTCGACGAATACTTGAATCTGGTTTTCATTAGAGAAAGTTATCCCATTTTGCAGCGATCCCAAAAGGAGATTATCGGTTTTGTACGAATTCAGATGAATGTGGCGGATGGGATAGACTAGCCAATTTCCTAATTTTTTCCTGTCTCATTCTTGATATATGTGGCCTTGTCATAGGGGACAACCTTTTTCCAATTGAGTGGCTCAGAGCGCTTTTCAACCTAACATTTATAGGCACGTTGCTGTTGCTAGACGCATGAGCGGGCATTTAGTTTTAAATTCGTTTTAAAAAGTGTAAATGAATAATACCTCCACGAGTCCACCACACGCACAACATTACCACTCTTTCCAAGAGTTCAACTTTTGGGATCGGTGGTGTAACGGTATCGGCTCGGAATGTAAAATCAGAGAGCTGAGTTCGAATTCCAGTCAGGTTCGTTACATTCATTTACGCGTATATACCCTTGGGAATGGTACAAATCTATCTCTTTCTTCTGAATAGAACCACAGAGTGGGTCCTATAGCCTTGGTTGGCAACTAGTTTACTGTAGAAAGAAACGGTAGCTTACTGCTGGAAAATTTCCTTCCTAGTCAGTCATGAATCGAAAGAAACATGATCGCACAAGCATGTTTCACGTATCTATTCTAAGTAACTGACTGTGGAGGTTTCTCTTGTCAATCTACTACCTTGAATATTTTAGTATGTTATTGTACTCCAGATTTATTCTTAACTGTTAAGTATGATTAGTCCTTAGAATGATATATTCATCATAGTAACTGGTGTTCAAAAACAGAAATGACTTATGACAACGTATTTCCACTGCATTTCCTTTATTATTATTCAACGTTTAACAATATATTAAATATTTTGTTAATATTGGTTGGGTATCAATATATTAAATATTGAAAACAATATATTAAATATTAATATTCATGCATATTATTAAATATATTAAATATTGAAAACAATATAAATACTGGTTGAGTATCAATATGTTAAATATTTCGTTAATACTGGTTGAGTATCAATATGTTAAATATTTCCTTAATACTGGTTGAGTATTAATATGTTAAATATTTCGTTAATACTGGTTGAGTATTAATATGTTAAATATTTCCTTAATACTGGTTGAGTATTAATATGTTAAATATTTCGTCAATACTGGTTGTGTATCAATATGTTAAATATTTCGTCAATACTGGTTGTGTATCAATATGTTAAATATTTCGTCAATAC